ACGTCACGGTAGGAGCGCTCTCCCCGAATTTGGTGTCTCAAGGTCCAGCAGTTTGGCCTGGGTGTTGATTTTACAGTGAGGGGACTTTCTTTTATATATATATAGGTGTACTACATACTTTGGGGAGGGGCCAGTGACTCAGTGGTAGAGCATCTGCTTGGCATGCAAATCTCAGGTTCAATCCCTGGCATCTCCAGTTAAAAGAATCAGGCAATAGGTGATGGGAAAGACCTATACCTATACCTGAGACTATGGAGAGCCACTGCCAGTCTGAGTAGACAGTACTGACCTTGATGGACCAATGGTCTGATTCAGTATAAGGCAGCTTCATGTGTACTAAGAGCCCCCCCCCCCATTTCTCATTCTATACTGTGGAAAAGAACAATTACAGCAGTAATACAGGCTCAGTTGGTAGTGCCTGGTGATGTTGCCTTTTGAGAAGAGCACAGTGGTCAAGCTCTTTCTGGAACTGGGAAGATAACAGTACACTGACATTTAGAAAAGGTCATATTTAATTTTCCCTGCAGTGAGTAAATGCCTGTTCAATTGTAATAGTTAATGCTGCTTCAAAGATTGGAGCTGTTATGTTGATTTTATGCTTACTCTTGCTTTCTCACACCATCTACATGGCAAATAGCTGAACCATTTACAAACTCCATATTCACTGTAAACCATTTTTTTTCCTTCTCATAATGGAGCCAGCTAAACTTCAGGTTAATTCTGTAGAGGGTGAACTTCAGTTTAGATGTCTCAGATTCGAGATTGTTTTCCATAAGGATTGCTTTACACATTTCATCCCTGGTTATGCACGATATTTCTCTTTTGCTATGCTGTTATTTGTTGCTGCTCTTTGTTGCTCAGAATGTGTTGGTATGCTTAGCAGACATGCTGCTGATACTATCACTGTCCTCCTGCCTGGCTTTTCATTAGCCAGCTACAATGTAAGTGTATAAATCTGTTCCCAATGAGATTGTCACCTTATTTTTCTTGCAAAGGCCTCCAGGGAAAGTATTTTTTGCTTGAACACTGCCTGGCTATATCCCTTTGCTAAATTGCTAATATGAGGGAGGTGGGAATCGAAGAGCACACACATTTGAGCATCTGTGAAAGTGTGTGCTTGGCTAATGGCCTTGTTCCCTGGCATTAGATCCTTTGAGGCAGCTTTTTCACACTTCACCTGCATTAAGGAGGTTAGTCAGCAGGTGGTAGAAGTTTGCTTATGTAAAGTTTATTTGAGGGGGCACAAGCAAGCTGTTGTTTGTCAACCCTATTCAGTACTCGCTCAGCCTACACAGGCATTATATGTATAAACACTCAGATGCAGGAGTACGTCTCTCCCATGTTCTCGCTTACTGAGAAGAATACCCATGTAATGTCCCTAAGCATGTAGTAAGTATATAGGGTGGGGGTGCAGTGGTCTGTAGCTAATTAAGGCTCCCTGTTTTATTTTCCTAAGTGCTTATTGATTCCTAGGTGCATTAAGCTCTACATTAAACAAAATTTTCTGGCAGGAGGATGTCACAAGCATTAATGAATTTCCCCCCCTATTTTTAATTGCTTGGGTTATTTTGGCTTAAATATCAAATAGTTGCCCTTTTGTGGACTACTCTCTCTATACATTTTGACAGTGTTCCTTAAGAGCAGAGCTATTTTTGGGAAGGAACGCACAGGAACGGAGTTCCGGCTGGCTCCCAAGTTGGCCATGCCCAGCAGGAACTCATTAGCATAATAGGCCAAACCCAACATCAGAAGCTCATTAGGATTGGCTACGTTAGGGGTCTGTGGCCTAACATGCAAAGGAGTTCCTGCTACAAGAAAAGCCCTGGGTTTTGACAACAAACAGGGTAAACAGAATAAGAAGCAAAAGGTGGATGTGGCTGAATGACTACACTTCTGGTAACATGGGGGTGCGGCCTAATATGCTAATAAGCTTTGTTGTCAGGGGTATGGCCTAATATGCTTTTGAGTTTCTGCTGTTGGGTGTGGTCTATTATGCTAATGAGTTCCTGCTGGACTTTTTCTACAAAAAGAGCCCTGCTCAAGAGGATTTATTTCTGCTATAACATTCCATGCATCTTTGACAGCTAGGGTGGTCTAACGGACTCTATAAAATTATTTTGAAATGTAAAAAAAAAAAAAGGACTCTTGTGGTACCTTAAGGTCTTACAACATGTATCTGGCCAGATAGTTCAAGACTTAAGGCACTAAAGTCTTTGAAAGAGGGGGTGGCAATTTCTACCAATTTCTTTCCTCCCACTGCAGATTCCCACTTTGCTCATTACGCTGTTCTGAAGGTTCATTGATCCCAGGAACAAACTTACCAGTGGCTGCAGTGGAAGCAGAAAAGGCTCTTTTTTGTGAGGTCCACAGATTGTTGGATACACAGAAATGTGTTGTAGCAACAGATTTTGTGGACTACAGTCTGCTTCATAAGATTCATGGCATGTTCTCATTTTATATATACATGTTTGTGATACAAATGAAAATAATACACACATACTTATAGAAGAAAGAATTGTAAACAGTGAGGCCAAAAGGCTATGAAATGCATGAGAGGGGCAGTCTCTGCTATTTCTTAGGAAAGGTTAAATATATAGAAGCTAAGTACCAATGACCACTCCCAACAGCTGTAATTCATAGCGGTACTTGTCTTTACTGGACAAGAGAGCTTTGATCTTACCTTTTAATCAAATATGTAATGAAAGTTGCATACTTTGGATCTCCTTTCAAAATTAACCATATTGAGTGAGCATGCAAAACTGTACTGTAATGTAGGCAAAATGCTTCTGATACAAACACTTCTAAACAAATTCTGTTCCTTGAAGGGAGTTTTAGGTCGCCCCTAAGGCTACCCACTGTGATAAAAACAATGAGCAATAGAAAGCTAGGTTGCATATCAGTAACTAGAATTCTGCTATCGTCATCTCCTCCATAAATCCATATTCAATCTCTGATTTCCTCAGTGGGTTGGGATTTTTAAACTGTGGGAGTTCTGACACTCTGCTGACATGTAGTTAGAGGGCAGTTAACACACCACACACATCGTTGCATGGGCTCACATACATGACATTTGACATTTCAACAGATTTGGGTCGTCAAGGTGCTGACAGCTCACTCCATAGAGAGGGGATATGTGAAGGAGATTACCCAATAGGAGAATTCATAGTACTGGTAAGTAATCAACCCATGATTGTATAGTTAAGTTAAAAACATTCCCAGTCTTTTTTCCATTTGAAAGACTTTTCCTTTTGTGAAGTGTACCTCACTTTTATGTTATAAAAACAATATAAATTCATTGGCTGAGAGAGATGGTGACTAGGGATGGGCGCGAACCTCACCACAAACCTAATTTCATCACAAACATTACCTGGTTTGTGGTTTGTGAACCAAGGGTCATGTGTTCCTCACCTGCAGTGAATCTCCCACGAACCTTCATGGTTTTTATGGAGTTCATGTGGTTCGTGCCAGTGGCTCATGTGGCAGACATGCTGGCACCAATCAGTCATCAAAACAATAGGGGGATGGGCTTCAGCCCTTCTGCAGCCCTGGAAACACCAATAGTGGCCCTCCAAACACCAAACAAAAGTGGCCCTTGTGGGACTGGGGGTGTGGAGGAAAGCATGAAAGAGCCCTGGTTGGGGGTGGAAGGAGATGAGGCAGCGATCCAAGGCTTGGGAGAGAAAGGGGAAGGCAATTTCCTTTTGATAGAAGTGGTGGGAACTTCAGGAAACCAGCCCATGGGGCAGTCAGAGGGAGGAGGCCAGGCCAAAATGGGGGACCCCAGGAGGTCCGGAAGTTGAGGATAGCAGGGTTGAAAGGAAAAAGGGGGCAATTCTCCTTTTGAAAGAAGCAGCGGGAGTTCTGGGAAACTGGCCTGTGGGGCAGTCAGCACATGAGGTCAGGTCAAAAAAGGTCACAAAGGATGCCCAGAAGCTGAGGATCGTAGGGTCGGAAGGAAAAAGGGGTGGTGGTGATCTCCCTTTGGTAGGAGAGTCAGCTGGAGACTAGCTATGACTTTGGCGTTCCGAATCTCACAAAATGAACTGGCTTGATAAACAGGAAGGTTTGTGAAGGTTCGTGGTGTCTCACAAACCATGAACCGGGATGATCCTCCACTTTCCCAGTTTGTGCCCATCCCTAATGGTGACCCAACACAAAGTAGTCTTTAATCATGAGACCGTTACTTTGTGTCTTTATTCTTTAGGAGCAAATACATACACTGAAGTATTTTTCATCCAGTTAGGAGTAAATTGTTCAATATAGCATTATCGATCTGTTTGGAAGAAGGTCACATAATGTAGTTTTTGAAGCAAAGCACTCAGAGGTCAAACTGATTTTTAAGTTTGCCATAACTACATGAAACATTCCATTAGAAGTTTTTGTTTTGATGTAGAAAAGACTTGACATCAAAGTTGCATTTTCAATACTCTGCCTAGTTGGAGTTTTTCAGAATTAAATAAAAATAAATGTTGGTACGTAGGTTGCACTGCAGCAAAAGCAGTTCTGTAATTTTGTTCTGCTATAGAAAGCCACTTTTGTGCTTGGAATAAATCTGTTCTGAGTTTTCCCATTGACTGCCTGTAAAGGCAGATCAAATTGCTTATGAGTTAGTACCATGATTTCCTCTTCTGTAAAAAAACAGTTCTATTGCAATTGTATAGACTTGTGAATTAGGTATTTAGAACATAGCCTGTTAGCTAACTGAGAATCAAACATGATAAATATTAGCTGTCTTTAGAAGTAGTATTTAATGCCTAGCTTTTATTTCTACTTTGTTTGAAATTGACCTGCTGGTGTCATGTAGGGTAATGGAAAGTTCTCACAGTATAGTTCAATTTGACTCTTAGTCTTATCCTTAAATGTTTAAATTCTAATTGAATAGTCTCTCCTAGGGGAAAAAGAGTATGTTAGCTTGCAAGTCTTCCAAGTACAGTCCTACTTTCTTTCTATGATTTTAAGACGTTACTTCTAATGGCATGAAATTCACTGTGTGTTCACAGAACTGTGCTAAAGAATAATGATTTAAGATCAAGACAAGAATTAACTACCCACCTCACCAATCAGTGGCCTTCCCCAGGAGCTCTGGATGTTAATGCTGTTGCCTTGGATACGCTACTTTATCGAAAACAAAATAAGCAATGGGATGAGTAAGTTGACATATTTGTGCAGTGCTCCTAAAATTACAGGAATCTCATTTGCCTTCCCTCCATATTGTCAACCAAAACATTAAGGGGTTTTGTGGGGGATTCATAGATAACTAAATCTTAGTATATATTTTAGAACTGCTTGTGTTAATTTTTTCTAACACCCTTATCTTAAACTATATCTGCATAAAAGTAATAACAATAGTAAGCCTTTAAATAGCACTTTCTGTATGGTAAAAAGTACCGCATCTGCATTCATATTAACTCTTGCAAATAACACTGTTATATTGTCCGCTCCATTCAAAAGTCAAAATAATTTTGCAATACAGCGTAATTCTTTAGTGATTTTGAGATGGGGTCCTATTACAGACTGAGAAGAATAGATCAGATATCCAAGTGATGGAGGCCTGTGGAGAAATTACTATAGCTAATTTCAACAATTAATTTATACATATGAGACTTATGTGTTCAGGTGTGTGCAGAACAAACCATAGTATTTCTTTTTTTCTCAAATGCAAATTTCCCTCCCGTCCTTTCTTCACCATAGCTTGGCATCATGTTTGATCATCATTAACCACAGTTTAGGGCATATTAACTATTAAATGTTAACTTTGAGTGATTCTAAGGGTTACCATACCCTTAAAAAGTGACCCAGTGGTTCAATGTAATGCTGTACCCTGATGAAGGGGGTGAGGAAATAGGAGAAAGTCCATGATCCTGTTGCCTGGTGCCTAAACTATGGTTCACTGAGTTGGCACCATTCTTTACACCCTTTTGACTGTCATGCATTGTTTTTACAAGGGCAAGCCTTAGAGTTCTGAAGCTTCTGTGCTTCCTCGGGTCTCTTTCATGGATTTCTGTGGTAAACCATGGGTTGTCATATGATCCTGATCACCGTGATTTGGAGGGCAGAAAACAAACCATAGCTTATTATTCAGGCAAAAGAACAAACCATAGCTTGCTGCAGACTAATAGTTTTCCCACTGTGCATGAGGAGTGGAGGGAGCACACATGCAAGTCTGAAGATTTCTCAGGCTTGTATATGGAACAATAAACCATGGATTGTTATGAGAAAGGAACTATGTTTTTGAGTTAAAACAGTGTTTTCCATCTTAAGGCTGAACTAGTTGTTACTTTTCAAAGTAACATTTCAGCACATTTAAGGTATTTCACAACTGGCTGTAACATCCCACTTTCATATTTTGAAAAAGAAAACTTTAGCCCAACTATAACTTAAGTTTGGAATGATGACTTATTAAGCAGAAGCCTTCAGCTGCAAACTTTGGCAATAAAAGGGGTGTTTTAAAAATTGTAGAAAGGCTTACTTTGTGTTAGTGTCTTTGTGCTGCAGTTGCAATTTATCAACAAATCAGAAAGTTGATGTTTTTAATTCTGAAATTCAGATCATCAGTGATACTCATCATTGTGAAAATCTGTGCTCTCCAGATGCATCTTTGATTTTTTTCAAAGGATAAGTAATAATTTACAATGAAACATTAAATTTGGTCTTCTGTTAGCGAATGCCTGAAGAATCTGCAGTCTTGTACAGCAACGTGTTGTAATTCTAGCCATGGTTTGGCTTTCTGACAGTGGTGGAAGGGGGAAGAGAGGCAGTAAATTTGGGGAAATTGTTCCCTGTATAATGCTGCTTATAGTAAAAATGCTTCACAATATCTTACTATTTTAATGTAATCTCTTAAAAGCCGCATTATCAATATATCTAATTCTCAACAGGGCCCCGTCAGCAGATACTTAAATCCAACAATGAGGGCCATAGACAGGCATGACAGATCTTTCTACAAACCTGAAAAAAGATTTCCAGAAAAACCTGAAATTAAGCTAACAAACACTGGAGGTTAATCCCTCCAAATGATAGCAGTACCTGTAGCTTTAAGAAATGTATGCTGTCACTGACTGTTGCTAGGCAATTTTCACTGTATTGCTAGCCTTCAAGCCTGAGTTTTTCAATGAAAGGTAGGGAGAGAGGGCAGGGCCCTTTCCAGGGCTTTGAAAGAGGACTCATTGAGGCCAGACATGGCAGCAGCCACCAAGTGACTTGCTATTACAAGACTTGCATGTCAGCTGCTTTGCGTCTCCATTGTGGAGAAAAGGAGGATTTAAATAAATAATAAATATAGCTGAAGATAGGGGAATAGATGAAAGGTGTGTTGGCTAGTGGGTGGGAAGGAGAGAAGGAAGGACTATGGGTGCTTTCAGGGAAGGGAGATAGGACATAGTAGAGGAGAGGGAAATGAGATGCCCCACGCAAGTTCTGGCATGTCCCCTGCTTGTATGTTATAATTTATCACTGGCTGTATTTTTCATTATTCTTGGGGGGGTTTTGCATGGTTTCTTGTTCTCTCACCTATTCACTGCATGTGGATGTTTTTCTTTGACCAACTTTCCTAGTTCTGTATTATTTTATTAAATACTTTGCTTTAATATGTCCTTGGCTATGTCAGAATTATTTTAAATAGTAGCACCATGCTGATATTAAAATCCCTGTTTTAAAAAAATACATATATAGTTGTGTGTGTGTGTTTTTGTATGCTTGCCTGGAAGTGATGATGACTTCTGGCGATCCATATTAGGAGCTTGGATGTTTTCCAGAGACGTGGCTTGAGTAGCCTGCCTCTGCATCCTGCCTCTGGTATTGCTTGGAGGTCGCCCTTCCAAGTACTTGCCAGAGTTGGGCTTGCCTGGGCTATCTAGGTCAAGGCCTGTTATTAAAATCTTTGCTAGAAGCTTTGTGGATATCATTACATGCAGAGCCAGTCTTTCCACCAGGTGCCTTAGAGTTTTGGAAACAGACATTTTTGCTTCAGTAGCTGATGGGATTATTGGGGGCTTTTCCTTCCTATTGGGACCTGGATACACACAATTCTAGTAAAGAGATGAACTGTGGAGAGAAGGGAAGGCAGGACCAGTCAACAGAGAATGACAGGGGATTCCTGTTGGTGTGGTTGAGTAGCAGCAGTCCACCCAGACTCAGGGTGCCAAGGTACAATGACCAATGACATAGTGTATTCTAGAGATCCCAGCAATGGTCCTAAGTGATTAGCACAGCTTTGAGTATGATGTATGTGTGCGCGCGCATGCCAGGAGGTAGATGGGTTTGTGTAGGAGGTCCTATGGAGGTTAACGAGAGTGCAAAATACATAGAACATTTAAAAGTCATAGGGTTTGAATATCTTTTGGAATTATCAATGGAAAAAAAGACTTGAAAATGAAATAATGATGTTGACTCATTTGGTTAATTATGTGCTGGGTGCTGTTTGTTAGGAATGCTAAAAGAAGTTAGTTCTGTGCTTAGAAAATTTAACTTCTTCAATTGGCATAATGATACAGATTTGCTCAATTTACTTTGAGGTATTCCAAAGCTTTTACTGGTTTGATAGTCATGGTATTTACACTAATACTTTGCCTCCTGTGCTGTAAATTTCACTCAGCTCCTTCTTTTGGTTTCTGAGATTTTAGCAAGCATTACCATCCACCCTTTCAGATTTTTTTTCCCAGCCATACAGGTAACAAACATGCTTTAAAAACATGTGCTGAGATATTCAGGAAGCTTCATTCTGCTCCCAGTAGATTTTGTACCTGTCCTGTGCTGCTGTGGAATTGCAGCACTGGGTTCATAAAAGTCATTGTGGTGGTACTTCATAATTTTCATATGCCTTCAGTCACATATTGATTAAGTTTGCAAGGAACAAACAATAAACAAGGGTCTCCATCTTTTTTGAGCCTGTGGGCACCTTTGGAATTCTGGGCTCTGCTAGAAAATGGCTGTCATAGGAGGTGAAGCCAGCCACAAAATTGCTGCTGCAGCTTACTTTCAGTCACACAGTGAAGATCCTAAGTCCCTGACCTGGATAGCCCAGGCTAGCCCTATCTCATCAGATCTTGGAAGCTAAGTATGGTCAACCCTAGCTAGTATTTGGATGGGAGACCTCCAAGGAATGCCAGGGTTGTGATGCAGAGGCCGGCAATGGCAAACCACCTCTGAAGTCTCTTGCCTTGAAAACTCTGTGGGGTTGCCCTAAATCAGCTGTGACTTAGTGGCAAATGAAAAAGTGAAGATCTTTGTACTGTGGTGGCCGCAGCTACCAAAGCAGCACTTTTAAAATCTGTAGTGTCAGTCAGAAACTTTGCTGGTCAAAAGCCCCTCCTGGGCCCACCCACTTAAAAAAAAAGACAAAAAACCCTTGGTGCACACCAGGAAAGGTATTGGCAGGCATATAATGGCACCCAAAGGCACCATGTTGGGGATCCCTACAGTAAGCCATTACCTTGATAAATATCAGAATTCCTCATCAGTGAGGTGTTTTCATTGGATGTTGAAACCTTTGAATCAGTGGGACGAAGGGCTCCAGTCCTTGGCTATGCTGGAAGCTTAACTCCTTCTGGATTTGCACAGTTGCCTACAGTCTGCAGTTTCTCATGTGTACTAAGTAATACAACTACTGCTTTCATAATGGAGAGCATGATTACAATTGTTCTTTAAGAAAAATAATTTAAAATTTTTATTTCTAACTTTGTGTTTTTCTGGAGCATCTTTTCATTAATTTCTCTAGAGGAAAATATATGCAAAATAAATGTCCTTTGTTTCATATATTCTCTGAAGACACTGAATAAAACTGGTCCTCATTGATTTTACAGAAAGAGTTTTCACAGCCTGGACCAGCTGTCTGCAGATGTTAGCCTTTCTCAGACATCTCTGGATCCCAGTCATTCCCAAGATGGAGATGGAAAACAGGATGGATTAAATTTACTTAGTGAAGGTAAAGTAACTATCTTAAAAGTTACTTTATTTGGAAAACTTATGTTTCTTTAGAGGTCGGCTCAAGGTAGCTCACAATGTAAAAAAGTACAATAAAATAATAAAACAGTACAATAAAATCATAAATAGTACAATAAAACCATAAAATTCAAGGCATAAAAACAGCATAAATCAGTACCATAAATTATTCAGAAAATTGTTCTCAGACTAGGAGTTGCTCATTTAAAAAACACCTTTAAAGGACGGGATTCCTCTGTTAAAAGCCTGGGGTTAAAAAGAAAGCTTTTGACCTGGTGCCTAAAGCAAAGTATTGGGATTGCCAGGTGAGCTTCAAGAGGGGAGGGCATCCAAAAGCAAGTTACAACCCCTGAAAAAGCCCTGGCTGTGGTTGCTGCTCACCTGTACAGGCCCAGCATCAAAACTCAGTTTAGCTGGTCATTTGCCAACCAATGAGAACTGCCAGTGGAAAATGAGAGCTGCTTCTGTGAAATAAATAATTGTGGGGGTTTTTTTCTCACTTTGCAAACTTCACCTCACGGTAAGGTAGAAAATGGCAACTTTATTACTTTATGGTGCCAAGGGACAAATTGCCCACTCTAATGACACACACTCCCCCTCTCTTTGTTAACAGCAAATCAGTGGAAATCAAGGAGAATTTTTTGAGATTTTTCATGTCACAGATGCCAGCAGGAAAAAGGTCTTGCAAGTATTGTATTGGGAAGGGTGACAGAAAAGTATGGATCTTCCTCGTGGTCTCTGTGCATCACACCCATGGGATTATGCGCCTGCACTGATCTGAATCGGTGGTATGCAAAGCTCACAAAGGGATTTTCGCGTCTCTCTCCCAGGCATGCGCGGGAACCCCACTGCGCATGCCCAAGGAGGAGGGGCGTGGACATCCAGCTAGTTCTCTTCTGACCGCCGCACTGTTAACAGCTCATTTTCTGCCGGTCGGTGAAGAAGCGTTTTTTCCTCTCACAAGGGATTATTGAAATTCTACTTTTTATGCTTACAGCATTTGTTTTATTTCGTTCTTTAGAAATATATATATATATATTGTTGAGGGTTGCCGCTGCCTCAGGCGGCTTCACGCCTCCCCCCCCGCCCCCGAGGTAAAATTTCACCTCGTTGAAGGACTTTTTTCTTTTGGACCATTTACTCTTTTATGGCCAAAAGAGGGGGATGTTTCAAACTGTGTGTTGGCTGTGGCAGCAAACTTGCCCCTTGTGACGGCCACACACTGCATTATTTGCCTCGGGGAGACTCATCGCCCAGATGCTTGCCACCATTGTGCGAAGTTCTCAAACCAGGCTCGCAAGAACAGGGCTGCGAGGCTTCAAGTAGCGCTTTGGGAATCGGCATTGACCCCAGTGCCTGTGGGACATATGTCGGCCGAGACTCCTTCGATCTCCCAACCAACAATGACCATGTTGACATCAGGAGGTACCTCGGCGCCGAATTCCCCACACCGTGCAAAGTCGGCATCAGACGGGGGACAGTCTTCTAAGCGCTTGGCGTCGAACGAGGCCCATTCCAGGCCCATGCTCTCGTACTCACCTAGACGGGAATTGAGACCGCACTCCCTGACCTACTTTGATGCACCTGTATCATGGGACCATAGGGGGCACATGCCTTGTTGGTTCACATCATATCTGATGTCGGCATCGATGCCATGGCTGACGCCTAGGCCACAGTTGGACTGGGACCGTGGATCACGTCGTTCACGCTCTCCCCACCGTAAATCTAAGCCTTCCGCGTCGCAATCCAAAGCCCCAGAGGAACCTTGTCGCCCACCCTCTCTTCTCCTTTCCGCCCCTGCTTTACCGCTGAAAGTCGCTCCGATAATGGATACCCCCGGCACCGATATCGCCTTCCAGATCCTTCGTCTTCGATACCAACACCGATGATTCGGAACGCGCCGAATCGCCTAATGATCCTTCACCAAGACCTACGGTGTCAGACAATCTGCCGATCTCTTCTTCGGAAGATCTTTCTTCATACGGAGATTGGGTCAAGAGGATGGCACATTCCCTGGGTCTGTCGATCGTCCAACCCCAACCCTCGGTGTTGGACGCTGTCTTCGATGACATGCAGAGCGATACCTCCACGTCGATCTCTCTCCCGAGATCTAGAACTCACTTATGTGTCTTTTTGGCAGTTCATGGTATCTGTAAAACCCTCCTTCACCACCACATTTCAAATGAATGAACTTTCTATTGTACAACTTTCACACCCATACCTAGTAATGGGGACTACTATGGTATGAATTATCTTTATCTTGGTTGCCAGTGACATGTTCTTTTCTGGTTCCTTCATGGTTGCTATTCCCAGTCTGAATCTCCTTTTGATTTTTTGATTGCCATCTCCCTTTTGGTTGATGATGGAGTGAAGGAATAGAAAATCTTTAACCATTTCAATTTCTTCATCATCGCCCTTGAAGTTGTGTAATTCCCCAGTAGTAGTCATTACTTTTGTCGTCTTGATATTCAGCTGTAATCCTGCTTTGGTATTTTCTGCTTTAACTTTCATCAGGAGTCATTTTAAGTCTTTACTATTCTCTGCCAGTAATGTGGTGTCATCTGCGTATCTGAAATTGTTAATGTTCCTTTCCCCAATTTTCACTTCACCTTAGCCCACTTTCCTTATGATATGTTCTGCATTAAAGAGATAAAATACATCCTTTGCCAATTGGAACCCATTCTGTTTCTCCATATTCTGTCCTAACAGTACAGTAGCCTCTTGGCCAGAGTACCATTTGTGCATCAAAACAACCAGATGCTGTGGCACACCCATTTCTTTTAGAACCAACCATAGCTTTTCATGATCCACAGTCAAAAGCTTTGCTGTAATGTATGAAACACAAGCTGATTTTCTTCTGAAATTCTCTTGTATGCTCCAGTAGCCACTGTAAATTTGCAGTATGATCTCCAGTGCCTCTTCTGTTTCTGAATCCAGCTTGAACATCTGGCATTTCTCAAATGTCTCAAATGCTTGTCAAAAATGAAACTGCTCCATCTTCTGGACATTTGTAAAGATGCAAGATATCTGAATTACTTAGATGGGCCCTGTAAACAGATGTAATCACATCTATAATTACATCTGTAAATAGATGTAATCACAAATAATTCATTTCCAGAAGCTGACAGTATTTACACTGAGGTTGATTAAAACATACATATACTGGTATTCAGACGTTTACTGCCTCTAGATGTGGAGGCTCACTTTAGTTATCCTGGATGTTAGCCATTGCTTGACCTATTTTAGCTTGAAGTCATCACTATCTCCATTGGTAATGAATACCACAATTTAATTACTTGTCGAGTAAAGTAGTAGCTTGTCCATTGCACATTCATTGAGTTGAGTTTTTCAATGGAGTTCTCTTAAGGAAGGAGAAAAAGTTCTCTCTGTGCGTGCATAATTTTATAAACCTCTGTCTCCCCTTTAGTCTTTTTTTCTAAACTGAAACGTTCTAGATTCTTATAAAACTGTTCCAATTCCCTAATCATCTCTGTTGCCATCTTCTGTGCTTTCCCAGCTCTGCAATATTTTTTAAAAAGATATGGTGACCAGAACTGCTCACTATTTCAAATGAGTCTGTACCATAGATGTATACAAGGGCATTACAGTATTGGCTGTTTTATTTTCAGTTCCCTTCCTAATAATCCCCAGCATAGCATTTACCATTTTCACCGCTGCCATACAGTCAGCATTTTTATCAGGCCACCCACGACAATCCCAGTATCACCCTCCTTCTTGGACTTGTTTAGTTCCGACCCCGTCAGCATATGTTAGGATTTTTTTTACTCCAGTTTGCATCATTTTACACTAAACCTAAACTGAACTTCATTGTCCTAATTGTTGCCCACTCATCAAATTTAGAGATCCTTCTGGAGCTCTGCACAATCCACCTTGGTTTTCATCATCCTGAATAATTTGGCATCATCTGCAAGATCAATACTGCTCAGCCCCAATTCCGCATCACTTTTGAACAAATAATTCATTTATTCATTTCGACTTTTATTGGCATAAAAGATGCTGATAAATTACAATCAAGAATAAATACAAAGGTCTGATAGATGATAAGAACAGAGACATAAAACAGTTGATTAAGATAGTAACCAATAATACTGATCAAGTTATGTATTTAAATCAATAAAACATCAGAAACAAATAGGAAAAATAGGTGTCCAACAATTAAGATACAGTGATGAGTTTGGACTTAATTTTATAAGCTTCAGCTAAAAATTTGGCAACACGTGTAGTGATTTCCTTAATGAAGACTGTGCTGGAGGTATTTTAGACAAGAATTGTTTACGTTGTAAAGCAAGGAGGGGGTACTCTAAAATGATATGGGATAACGAATTCCTAATTCACCTAATTCACATGGACAAAACCTATTTTGAGAAGGTATTTGTCTAACTCTACCAAAAAGGTCTACCGATGGAAAAGCATTTAAATGGGCCAAAGTAAAGGCTCGACACTGGAATGCGGAATCCAAAACGGAAAAATATTTCGGCATCGTTCCATGCATTTGATATATACCTAAATTAGCTATGGAACAGACAGGGGGGTGCAAAGGGAAGACTTTTTGGAATTCATAAGCCTTAGTTGGATTATGAACAAATTAAATAGCTCAAGTCTCAATATAGATCCTCGTGGGACCCCACTGCTTCCTTCACTCCATTGCAAGAACAGTCTATTTATTCTTGCACTCTGTTTCCTATCATTTAACCATGCTTTAATCAATGAGGACCTGCCTTCTTATCCCCTGACTACTCAATTTTTGTTTAGTTTGGGGTAAACATTTTAGGGGCACTGAAGTATAGTCACATCCTGTTGTAACTTGACTTGTTCCACATTCCTATACTTATCAACCATATAATAAAAGCCTATGTATTTCTCTGTAGTTTGTACTCCAAAATGGCTGAAAAAAAGTAATCACTACAATGCATGAAAGGGACAGGGGTGGTATACCTGATTCTACACGTTGTCTTATAAAACTTTGGTGATGAGTTGAGAAAAGGGATGTGTGTAGGGCATTGAAGCATATCTCTTTGCCTGTTGATGCTTCGACCAAGTCACTGTCGTCACCAGAAGAGGGGTGGGGGAAGATACTAAGTGAGGCTGTGCTCTTGATTGGTTAGTATCCCCTACCAATCACTAGGATGAAAATGTAACTGAAAAGTGCTATCTTTTTTAAATAGTGAAAGAAGATACTCCTTCATTGCTTGGTCTCTGTGGCTCTCTAACTTCAGTAGCAAGTTACAAATCCCTCACAAGTTTGAAATCAAGTGAATATCTTGCAAGTCCCACAACAGAGATGACAAGTCCTGGACTAACTCCTTCTTGAACAAATCTACCCAGAGAAGACTTTTGTGTTGGTAGTAATTTGGCATTCCATAACTAGCCTGCCATCAAGACTTTTAGAAGGTCAGGCCAATTTTAAAAAGTTAACCTATCCTTTTAATCAACATTTGAAACCCAATGACTTATAGTTGTTCTAAAGCAGGATATCTCAAGGTACTTTAACTACTAACAATATTATTTTCAAATCAACCATTTGTACAGTTAATCTTGTAAATGACTCTTAAGAAAAAAAAGCTGACAGAATTTGGCTTTTCGTCATGAATTGCTAAACTTCAGAGCAGAATACTGTGCTGCACTAATTTAGGTATTTGGTAGGATAATGTAAATCTTGCCAGGTAAGTGAAGATATCTTTCCAATTTATTATAAACAGCAAAATATTTAAATTGTATATTATTAAGACTCAATTTTTTTAAAAAAATCTGATTACTTAGAATGCTGATAACCATTAGATCTTGGTTTGAATTTGGATATTACAACACTGTTTTACTTGGGTCAGGAGAATCAGCTGGCTCTCTTTGTCAGCTATCCATATAACTGGTATACTGATACTCTGAATCACTTGCAAAAACCAAGAATGTGGAGACAGTATTTACATTTATACTTTTTGCAAGTTCCTTCTATAAAGTGATGCTGCCTTCCTTCAAGAATCTTACCCTCCTGAAAGCAAATGTCACCAGACGTTCCATGTAAACGTTCTTGCTGAATAGTTCTAAAGAGAACTATTTTTGCAGTTGGTTCCATACTAAACATGTACCACCAATCCAGTAAACCTTACATGGTTTAAACATAGTAAGCAATGCAAGCCATAGGTTTCTTGACCAAAGCTTTGCATATCAATTTTTTTGGAGAGCAAACTTTTCTACTGACTAATGCATTCTTTACTTGTGGTTATAAACAGAGGCAACTTTGTAAAAGTTAATATACACGGAGCCTCTGAATTTGATGATTTTGGTGAACTACTATATTGTGCCAAAGAAGATCCATACATTGTTTGTTAGTATGCAGCAATGTAATTTGAAATCTGTAATTACAGCTTATTTTTGGACTGTGTCAGGTGGATTACTTTGTTTTGGCAATATGAGATATGTCTCTTGTAAGATTTGCTGTAAGAATGTCATTTGTTTGGGAACCTGTCCTTCCCATGCACACAAAGATAACATGAAAGTCCTCACTACAGTGAGTTACTGGATTGTGTATGTGCTGAGCTAAATTTTGAAACAAAATGACACTGCAGTGTTGCACTTAAATAGCGTGCCGGAAACAATATATTGGCTATCTGCTGAAGTAACTTAAATGCATGATAATGTTCTTGTAAAACAGATAATCTTAAGAACATGGGGAATTGGAAACCTATACAACTAAGTTTCCAGAAATATGTAGTTTTGTTCGTGGATTTGTATGTTAATATTTAAATGCTTCCTTCAGCCATTATATCGTTTATCAAGAACCATGATGTTGTCACATTGATTAAATGAATTGTTAAAGCAGCCAGGATGAAAATCTTTTACAGATAGCAGCAAAACTCTTTAATGTGCATGTGAAGCCAGTTAAGTCAGTATTTGTGCACGAGAAGTTCACTGTCTTGGTTCTGAAATCTTGCCAAGCTTTCAGAATTAAAAAGCAAATAAATTGTGAATATTTGTTGCCCTGATGTATCAGTAATGTTGCATGTGTATTAAACATTTTGTAATATCACTACTGTAGCTTGTTTCTGTAATCAAAAATATTTTATGTAAACAATGAAGTACCTTCCATCGGCGTTAGATGTGCATGAGTACAAGGATCACAGGTTACCATGTACTGCTCCCCACAACAGTCCTGTTTGACCCCAGGAAATTCTGTTTCCAAGGTTGCTATAACCAGTGGGTCCAGAGGCTGCAGTGGGGATAGGGCAGAATCGCTCTCCTCTCTTCCATCAGTGGAGCTCTGAAGATGCAAGGCACAGGGCAATTTTGCCTGTCCCACTACCACCTCTGCCCACATGGTCAGAAAGGACTCCTGTAGGGGAATGTGGGACAGATCCATGATTGTCAGTGCCTTCTACTGTTTGACAACTGCATGCTTGGTATAGCTTGGACATCCTCTGAAAGAGAGGATCTCTGTTGGACTGCCTTCACTAGAGAAGTGTGAGATTTAATATATGTAATATCTAAGAGATTCATGACATTCTTACTGTTAACAAGGATACTTTCTTGCAGTTTCTTATGTCTTCCAAAAGTTGCCATACAAATTTGTTCATTTAACATTAATTATATTATCTACATGGTACTTCATAGTAGCAAATGTAGAAAGGTAGTTCCATGTCACAAGACTCTTCTAGTCTGAGTCTCAAAAATGCAGAAGTCAAAAGTAAAAAAGGAGGAGGGAAGGGCCCTAACCTGGATAGTCCAGGGAAGCTTGATCTTGTCAGATCTTGGAAGCTAAGCAGGGTTGACTCTGGGAAGTACTTGGATGGGACTGGGAGACCTTGAAATACTAGAGGCAGGGGCAGGCTTTATTCAGCCACCTCTCTGAATATCCATTCCTGGCCATCAGTAGGGGTCAGTCTCCAGAGGCCACCATGACTTCTAGATGCACACATGAAAAAAAAGAAAAAAGGAGAGAAGGGACTGGCATAATGATGACTAGTGCATAATTATGGTTGGATACAGAGAACTTTCAGTGGAAGGAAATGTAGTTGCTAGTTTGAGTTCATACATATTTGTCTCCAACAGAAAGGCCCATGGAATGTGCACCCCATCCTGTCAGGGAAGCATCCGTCGTATGGTGACTTTCGGGTGACAGAGGGTGGATCTGGGAAGAGGGGATAGGACGACAGTGTGTGCGTTTTTCGACAGGTCGTAGTTGCGGATAAACCAGAGCTGTAAAGGGCGCATTTTGAGTCTGGCAAAGACGAGAACCAACGTAGTTGCAGCCATCAGGCCTAGTAGCCTCTGAATTTGGAAGGCAGTGACGGAGGGTTGGGTACGGACGACGGTGGCTAAGGAAATGATATCTGCTGCCCTGTCATGGGGCAGGTAAGCCATGCATGTCTTTGAATCCAGTATTGCGCCGATGTACTGTATTCGCTGAACTGGACACAATTGAGACTTTTGTCGATTGACTTGCAGGCCCAGATTCTCCAATAGTGCTAGAGTCTCTGTGACATTGGAGACCAGGGTGTTCCTGGAAGGCGCTACCAGAAGCCAATCGTCTATATATGGGTAGATGGAGATACCCCGGAGACGGAGGAAACCTGCAACCACAATCATAGTCTTTGTGAAGACCCTTGGGGCACTGGACAGGCCGAATGGAAGGGCCGTATACTGGTAGTGCTGTTGACCAATCACAAAGCGTAGGTATTGGCAGTGGAAGGGGTGAATAGTAAGGTGGAAATATGCGTTTTGGAGGTCGAGAGTGGCCATCCAGACGTGTCTGCGAAGCAATGGCATGATGTGTTGTAGGGACACCATGCAGAAGTGGTGGTAGGTCACAAAACGATTCAGTTCCCTTAGATCTAATATGGGTCGAACGCCTCCGTCTCTCTTCGGGACTGTGAAGTATCGGGAATAAAATCCCGTCCCTTGGAGGTGTGGTGGTACGTGTTCGATTGCTTCCTTTTGCAGAAGGACGGACACCTCCTCGAGGAGAGGTGGCGTGGAGACGACGACAGGGGTATTGGGGTTCTGGTGGAACTGAATTTTTTAGCCTCGGGACAACATGGACAGTACCCACTCGTCCGAGGTGATGGTGACACCAATTTTGAAGAAAGGGTGACAGACGGGTTTGAGCTGACTCGGTGACAGGGAAGTAAAAAACCCTGTTTGGAGGGTTTGGACTGTTTGGTGCGGGAAGGTTGTTGCCTAGAACCGAATTTTGGTTTCTGGAAGGTGGATTTTTGGCCTCCCAAAGATGTTCTTGGTCTCCATCGTGTGTCTGGAGACTGATGAGTTGGGGTGCGCCTCTGCCAGGACCTCGACCAGGTGCGGGGATGGTATTGTTGTCTCGCAGAGGATGAGACTCCTAGAGCTCGAGACGCCTTTATGCTTTTATCTAACTCTTATAGAATAGAATCAGTAGTAGCATTGAAAAGCCCCAGGCCATTAAAGGGGAGGTCTTCCACATAAGATCTAGTATCTATCGGGAGGTTAGTGTTGCAGAGCCAGGAATGTCTTCTGAGAGCTATTGCAGAGGCCATCGTTCTGGAAGATGCCTCGAGGACATGTTTGGTAGTGTTGAGCTGTTTTGCCAACACCATGCCTTCTTCTTGTATGACTCTGGCTGCCTGAAGTTTGTCGTCTGGGAGGTGGCTGAGAAGTTTTGAGAACCGTTCCCAGAGAGTATATTGATATCGGTTCATACAGGCCAGGTAATTAGTGGCCTTGACTCCTAACGCTCCCGTGGAGTAGAAGCGCCTGCCAAAGGCATCTAATTTCTTACCTTCCTTGTCAGAAGGTGCGGAATGAGTCCTCTTGGATTTGGAGGAAGATGTTATCACCATCGAGTTAGGCTGAGGGTGCGAGAAGAGAAATTCGGCATCTGCCTCTTGAACCCTGTACATCTGGTCCAGTCGTCTCGTGGACACAGGGGAGACGAAGGTTTTAGCCATGGTGTCTTTGCTGCTTGCAGAAGGACTGAAGACATAGGCAATGCCAAGGTGGAAGAGGTATCAAGCTGAACTATATCATAAACCGCATCTGTTGCTTGCGGATGTTGCTGGACAACAGAGAGGCTTAAAGAGTGGACCATTCTTTTGACCAAATCTGTGTATGACGTAAGGTTGTCAGGGATACGGGTAAGTCTTCAGCGACATCCTGGTTGGGGGATTTATGGTCAGGAGAGGTATGAGCCTCAGATGCCTCCGTATCTGAGTCCTCTTCTATGAAGTCAGAGGAGTCTTGTTGTGGCATTTGGACCGATGTGTCCTGTTGACAAGTTATGGGTTTAGTTGGGACGACAGGGTTTGGAGTGACCGGAGGGTTGAGGACGACTTGGTTCCAGAG